GAAGTGGCAATACCTTCTGAAATTCCAGTCAGAAATGTGGTGATAGGGATTAGCTTCTACAGCGTCCCTTTGCTATAATTCGTCCTTAGACTCGTGATGTCACATAATTGCTACCTTATGCTTGGACTTGGGTTATTATTAGATTCTCTACCCCACGTTTCATCAGGGGCCGTTGATACGCACTGGTAAATGGCGTTCCTTGGTACAGAAGCAACGTTTTGCGGTTTCTATGACCGCAACTAGAATTAAAGGAAATGAACACTTAGTAACTGATGAAAGGATAATTGCCCCAAGGTGTGCGAAGCCTGCGCCGTCTACGCAGCAAAATCAAAAAATCCGTTTAAGTAAGTGCTTTGCACTGAACCTGCAGAGCATTTCGGTGCTTGCGGCACACTCGTTTTGGAAGCAACACGTCGTCGGTCATATCGACCTCTTCTGCTGCTCAACCTCAGACGTCAATTGTGTTGCATTTTCGCCGTTGAACGCGCGTGTGAGTGGCAGTGGCTTTACTTTGACTCAAGTGCGAGCTTGCAGCGCAATGGTAACTGCGATGTTATTCTGTATTTAGCTTATACACCTTCGCAAACCTGCTATTAATTGAATTTGGTCGATCAATCTTGAATTATTTATGTGAAAGTACACCCGACCATGGCGTGGGTGTTGGCTGATGAAGTGCTATTGCCAACTTTTGATTTGATTAACATAAAAAGGTCATGTAATAGAGCAAGCAAAAATAACTGAAAACATTTTGCTTCAAAAGATCTCGGATTAAAAAGTATGCGTGGCCACTGAGCATGTAAGCGGATTATGTGCGTGTCGGGTCTCATGGTACTCCTTTCTTCGAGCATCTTTGAAGGGCCTGATCAGCCTTTATTTCAGAAAATGAAAGTTCCCCATGCTTATTAAAACAAGACTCCAGAATGCTTTCAGCGGTGTGAGTGACAGTGATTTCTTTATTCAAGGAAAACAATCCACGTGACTGCACGTGCGACGTTAATTTTCTCATCGGAATAGGAAAAGCTTAAAGCAACGGGTAACAAAAGTTCTTTCTCGACTGGAGTCTCTTATTTTTACTCATAGGTTCTCGAACTGGTCATTTAAGCAGGATAGGAGTGCTATCGAGCATTCCCCTCGCTTAACTAACTGCGTTTTGCTGTCCCCGCCTGTTCAAGAAGAAGAAGACGAATCGAAGACTAGTATCTTACTCTGAAGACAAAGGCAAAAGCAATATTCGAAAAATGCTCTCTCGGACCTGGCGGCCAAAAATTAATTAAGCATAGAAGTTCAGAAAACGTGCCCATAGACTTATCTTTTCACTCTTTTAGTTATGGAAGGCATTTTCCAAAAAAGGTTCCTTAGATGTATCCACGTTGGTTGACCATGCGCGACTTATCTTCAGTCCTTCCAGAAGGTCCTGCACAGTGACAAAGAGGACTGGATACTTCCATTACAGAAGGCCGTGAACTGTAGAACACTATGCAAAATGATGAGAATAGGAGAAAGCGACGAGCAATGGGAGCGATTCTAGGTAGGGCCGGGTTTCATTTTACGGGGTAATGGTGTCGCCTCACAGCTAATGCGCGCACGTAATTGCCAGGACTTATTAGCGAGGATGTAATGAGAGAGTAACTGTTATAACTGGCGGCAAGCAACAAAAATCCCAATATCCAACAAATTCTCTTCGGTTGTCGCCCTTGTTGGGTAGCATAAGTGAAATGCACGAAGGGCTTATGCGACCGCCCACGTTGCCTCTAGAATGGGCGCATCAAAGCTCAATGGATTTATCCATATTGCGTCTCCTAACATTTAGGACTGATTACCATCACTTCGCCAATATGCTCAGTGAAAATTCTTATCGCAGCCAACAGTACGCTGACTCGTGACTGAATCGGCAGAGGGTTTGATGCACAGCTCAAAGGACCATATGTCTGGGCTTACGTGCTGTATCGTCTGCCCCTAGATCTGGGGTCAGGGGAGAGGGTTTGGTGAAGCAACGGCGACAGCAACTAAGGCGGAATTAGACAGCAAACTCTGTTGTCTTTTTCCGAAACTTTTATCATCGGTTTTATTTTATCCCACCCCTACTGCACAGTTCGCGTCAGACAGAGTTAGGTTATTGTGTGAACATTCTGTGTACAAATCTGTGAAAGGTGATCTTTCGGAGTGTGAAGACGACGGTTTAGATGAATACATGCTAGGCATACGACTGCTTAATTTCCAGTGGTCCATGGATTATTGAGATTACTCCACGGCATTATAATACATGCCCACAAATAGGTACTCTCATGTTTTTCGCTTGCGCATGAAGTTTTATGCCCCATCGCTACTCAGTTAATTGAACAACGGCCATATTGGACTGGGGAAAGTTCTTGCTAATAAAGGAGAGTAGTTATCGTAGTGGGCTCAGTCTTCCGATAGCGCATAGTTTCCACATAGCTACGGACTTCACACGTCATCCAATAAGTTTTCATCTTGAGGATTGCAGATAGAGGCTGAACTACAAGCGTCAAAGGCGAAGCAGAAGTGACAACCGAAAACGGCTTTCTGATCTCCTTAATCAAAAGTCGATGTAAATTTCCTTTTTTCATTCTAGTTCTACCAAACAATTCAATCAGACCAACCGTTGTTCAGGAGTCAGCCCTTGAAATCCTGACTAAAAGCGTACCATAAAACGAGCTGATAGATTTAGTCTCAAAGTTCGCACTTATTCAGACGATGATCGTGTCGGCTACGAAGTACGCCAAAATTGTTACCGGAGTGTGAATGGTAGTCAAGAAATCCTCCTATATCGCTACATGCCGACACATATCTGTTTCACTAGCAGAATATTTCTCCGACAGTAGATTGCCCGTCGTCAATTTGCGTCTAGTCCAGGTAAAAAAACCTAACTTGGCCATTTAAAAAATCAGTGGGAACTGAATTTTTAATTAGTCAGCTCGAACAAGTGAAAATGTATTAAAAATATGATCGCCATTCCCTTCCCAACCCGACGCAATACGAGACGTCTTGAAATGGCAAAGGCCCATGAGGAGATTACTGTTGTGTGTACCTACCGCCTGACGAGAACGAGTTTAGCGATGGTTTCTTTTTCTGGGATTCTCGCACACAAGGGCAAGAGCGCACTTTGCTAGTACCAGGAAAGTCAACTCGTCTTTGTTCCTCCGCTCCAGCGTGATTCATCACACCCAAACATCTAGTGCTCCGGTGATCGCGCGTTCGCTTTTTTCAACAAGAGCCTGAGACTCACATATTTGCCTCCAGTCCGGGAATTTTTTTCCAGCATGTGAAAGTCAACTGGCGCAAGAGCATCTTACTCGCCTTAACCTCGGTGTCTCAGAAAGATTGAAAAATGCGTCAACTGGGCCCCCTCTTGATTTTTCCGCGAGATTGGTTTCATATTAAAGCCGGCCCACTTAGATATAGGTGATAGCGTTAGAAGCCAAGTTTGAAGTATACTGTCAATTTACTTTTTCAGCGACAGTATTTCTTCCCAAACTAGCTTGCCAAAGTTCTAGAGTGGTGCTGGCAGCAAATAGAAAATTACACAGGCTATTACACAAAGGTGGCGACATGGTTTCTAGCCTGCTAAGGTTATAAACCCGTGCTGTATTGGTGCAATAAGGTTGTTGAGCACTTTAAACGGAAGAATACCCAGATCTTGGAAGTTGCTAAGTAGATGGTGATAAGCAACGAAAATCACAACATCCAAGAGTGCCCGTCCGGCTGTCGCCGTTGTTAAGTAGCTTAGATGGAATGCACGAGTGTCTTAGTACACATGCCTATGCGATGTCCCCCGTAGCTACCGACGAGCGCGGGTGCAGGCGAGATGCCTTTCACCATCACCCCCGAAACCACTTGTTCGATGGTCAGCCACGCGGCTCAATCGCAGTTATTTGCTGTCTACAACGGAGATTAGGCCAACCCGTCCCCATTCGTAACTAAAGCCCGGGAGTAATGTGGCTGTGCACAGTTATGCCCACCTCGACACAGTTCATCGAGTCGCCACTCGTCATCCCAGCCTAGTGGGAATAATTCCCACAGATAACGGAGGAGCGGCAACTTGTCTCCCACCCCTCAGTCGATAAGGACTGGTATCACCAGTGCATATTCAAACAAAAACCAAAACGTCGGCTGACAACTGCTTCGGCCGGAACAAATACATCCACCTTCGCCCTCGACCAGCAATTCTTTCACACGGTTGTGCTGATTACAATTTACCGTTTCCTCAGCCCTGTCAGTCTTATTGGACAGTTCTTCCCTCTTACGCCATGCTTCTTTCTCGGGTGCTACAAGCGAAAGAACATGTCCACTTGAGAAGAAAGCGATATACGTGACGTACTTAAACGCCCAGCTGAATCTGTACCTTCTTGTCCTTCAGCAAGCAACGGAAAGATGGTAGGACAGTTGGACAAACTGCTCGTGGCTGCTAAGAATCTTTCCTTTGATGGAGGAATGCAAAGAGGGACAAGACCTTATGATGTCTGTTTGTTGGCATGCGCCGATCTTACCTGGCACACGTTAAAGAGAATTGGTAACTCAACCCACACACGCGTCAACGGGTTTTCCAAACAAGTTGCTAACGTACAGCCTCGCCTACACTCGTTCCAAAGGTATAGCTTCCTCGGCGAAAAATGCTTCCCTGTTATTTATGCCTCGCCATTGTGAGCAATTGAAGTAGGTCACAAGTAGGCAGAATATAAAGCCGGGATAGACGAATTTGAAATAAGGGAGAAATAGGGATGCGTAAGGGAGAGGGCGAAGTTGATACAGAAAGACAAAAGAAGGCAAAAGGAGACTTAATAAAGTGAGAATACGCCATCACAAGCAGCCAGTTTAAACAACGTGGGGGTGGCAGGAGGGGGGCCCGGACACGGGTCTACCGGGCGTTGGGATTGATACGCAGGCCGCCGCAGACCAGACCCACTTCGGTTGCCTTCGTCACGCGACAGACGGTTCCCTTCCACCTGGGCAGGTAGCAGGCGTTGGTGAGCGGGTCCCGAACACACTCTTCGCCCCTGTAGACAGGGGTGTAGGAGGCAGCGCAAACCTCGAAGGGGTTGCGCGGATCATAAGCCAGCTGAAAGGCGTCAGTGGGGTTGGCGTCACAGACCCTGAGGATCTTGCGCGTCTGCTCAGCCACCTCGGTGGGGGGCGCGAGGTCGAGCAAACGGCGTGCCATCAAAGCGGCGAGGCGGTAGTTCTTGATCTTAAAGAGTAGGTTCACTGCAGTACGAAGGGTCAGCACCATGTGCGGCAGCTCCAGTTTCATGTGGGTAAAGTAACAGGCAAGTTCCACATTGCGAACCTTGTCCTGTAGACGAAAAGGGAGGTGGGTGGAGAACGATAACTGTCAAAAGATACTAAGGACAAAAGCAATGCCAGGATGTCCATAATACGGTTCAAAAGCACGGGGACTAGCAGGTCTCATAGAAAGTGGCGCTTCGGCGATCTAATTACAGGAAGGAACATGCTTGCTCCTCTTTGCTTTGGAGTTCCATCAAAGGCCCTCACAAACAGCCATGTGACGACCAGCAATACAGGTAGGTATGAGGACGAATGTAAGGGAGACTTGAGTGGCCATCTGCGATCTATTTAACGCTGCCAGTCGGCCAAACACCAACTGGTAGGCAGTTCGTCAGACATGATGAGCACAATTACCTCAAAAGAACAGTGATAGTTAAGGAGGAGGAATTCAATTAGAACGAGAAAGTCCTGTTTCAAAGCAAAGTCACTCCGGTGCCTTGTCATCCGTCATATTTTAGTGGCAGAATTAAGAATAGATGACCGGAAATGGACCTGGGTGCAGCGGTCGGGCAGGCAGAGTTCTGCTCGATTGTCCGAACCAGACAACGCAAATCTTCACTGGTTAAATCTTATTTGTCCTCCCTCGCCAATCAGGGCTATTGATGGGGCGTGATTCGGCGATCAGTTTCTCAGAACCACAAATGATTACTGGGTGGGATCGCCGAGGAATGGCCGCGACCTTCAAGCCATTAGGACGGATCATTCTCCCTAGCACCCGCATACTCCGCTCCTCCCAAAAAGGGCCAAGTCATTCTAGAAAGACAGTCCTAAGACTCCAACGTGTAATAAGGGAAATCAGTCGAGGCGGCGCATGCGGTGGCCTAACAATAAACGTTTTATTCGAAAAAACGTAACAAAAAGTCGTAAGCACTCCCTTACATTAAGGAAAGAGTTGATATTGACAGTTGGGCAGGGAAACGTTAACACACCCAGAAACATCATCCAGGTAGGCCCAACAATCTGCCGAATTTGCAATTCTAGTAATACTAATAGGGCAATTGAGGTAGTAGCTCTACAAGGAGTCATGTGGGACCTCTCAGCTTCGGCAAATAAAAAGGAGAAGAACTGAGGAGATTTCGGTAGCCGAACATTGTACAAACCGATCGCGCAGTCCCCATCATTCAAATTCACACGAATGATCTACTACCCTATTTAACCTTTTAGAAGCCAAAGCCCACAGAGGAGAACCGAGTATAGAAAAAAGACGCTTGAGGAGAGATTATTCGCGGTTATTCCGTGCACAAGCCTATAAAAACAAAAGCTAAAAAACCGGGAAAAGGACAAATCGTGAGGAAGTGCACAATCGAGGATATATAGATATAACTAGGATGAGACAGATATCTACCCGGTTTTCCAAAACCGAGGTCAGTTGCTACCATTACTCGACACAAGAGGTGTCTTAAAACGAAAATTTGTGTGAGGAAATAATTCCCTTAACAATTGGGCGAACGAGAATTAAAGTGGGAAAATTTTCCGAGCTTAACAGGAAATCTACTGCTTCCCTCAGCTCAGCGGAGAAGAAAGCCCATGGCGGTGGGATGGCATAGTCCAGTAGGGGTTTCACGAGAAAAAAATATGTTAAATCCGTAGATTTGAGTCATCAAAAATCCTATGGATTTTCTAGAAAGATGAAATTATGAAAACATAACAAACGCAATTTATTACAAGGTTGGTGTTAAGGAAAACAAAAAATAACTGATCTAGGCTTCTCCGGCAAATCAGTTATCTGACGTGCTTCTCTGCTGTTGAACGGTCTAGCATTCCTCTGTAACTAATTTGCTGATTATTCGGGTCTCTTACAGAATGTCTTTAAGTGGCAGTGCTGGACTGTAATCTGCTCAAGTGCGTTTGCAAGGGTCATTCACAAAAGGGTAGGTAAAACACTGTTCAATCAGTCGAAGAGCAAGATACAAAAACGCACGATCGGCCAAATTCGTACACGACGTTAGGAGCAAGGATACTGAGTAGTGACAATTTAACAAAAGGTTAAGAAAGACAATACTCAGAAGCGATACGTTTAAATTGAGAAAACCAAGGCCAAGTCATGAAAGACCTATCGCTCTGCACGCCCACAGTCATCACAAAAGCATAGAATTTATAGAAAATGCGAATTTCCGACACTTGCTACTTGGGATACTATCGAAACACCCGATACCACCACCTAGTAAATACAAGAAATGGGCCATGTGCAGTATGAAACGATGCACACATTTCGGGTCTATTCAATTAGAAGTCAAGAAACGTACCTGGTCTGTCTCCTTGGGAAGAGACTTTCGGGTCATCTCCATCTGCAGTCCGACGATGTACTCCCTGCAAATCGACAGCAGACTCTTAGCTTCACTCTCCTCAGTACTATTTTCGACAACAAGCAGAGGCACGAGAAGCAGGATCTCGCGAAAACGCTCGACCGCCTCGGCAAACTTAGCCTTCGTTGTCAGCTGGTAGGCAATTTGAAGACGTGAGAGAAGAGTGTCCAGTCTAACTGGCACGGCGGGAAGACCAGAGGCGACACCACTCCGCATGTTGGCCCAGTTACGCTGAGGGTACACAGTCACTGTGGGTGTATTCTGAATTCCTGGCAAAGCTAGTCTGGATGCAGCAAAGATTGCTTGGAAGACGGGTTTGTAGAGAGAGAAGTCAACTACGCCAACCTGCTGATTCAGTAGGAACATTGCCTGAGTCCAATCGCCAGCACAGACATGATCCACTACAAAGTTGGAGTTTTCTGCCCAGTAGCTGGCCACTGAACGTCCAGGTACAGGCTCCACAAATTCTGAGTCCACACCAGCGACGCCAGTGCCGGGCTTGTCCTCGATGGTGGCAAGCACTTCCGGTGGGAGGTCGAGGTCCTGATCTATGTCCCAGCCACCTAAAAATAGAGCTTTTTGTCAATACTGTCGGTAACGATCGAGTTCTGATTTTGTAATAGCTAATTATATAGAAGCTAACTGCATGTACATGAACAAGGTTACCTTCCCCCTCGCTAGCGTCGCCTCCTAGGTCACCATCCTCCGCAGCATCCGCAAAGATATCACGCTCCCCAGTGCCCAGATCATTGTCATCATCCCAGTTAGCGCCTTCAACGTCGCCCAAGTCCATAGCAGCGCCCTCTTTGGCCGTAAGAGTGATTCGTGGACCCTGGGGGCTTGAGTCCTCCAGTGTTTTGTTTCGCGCCGAGAAGGCAGCCTCGAAGAAGTCCTTGTGCACGGCAAGCGTGGGCCAGTTGGCGGTGGGACCCACAAGGCCTTCGTTTATTTCCCCGTTGGCGCCCACCTGAGCTAGTCCGTCGTTAACTGGTGGAGAAGGCACTAACAACTTAGCACTGGGATTAACCTCGGGTAGTCGTGGTTCGACCCCCTCCTTCGTAGTATGTTCCTGGATCAGCTGGGTGGCTAGATCACTGGCCTCATTTGACAAGCCGAAGGTAGCTGCAGTCAGATAGGCGAGGGAATTACGATGGCATGACTTCAGCACTTTGATACGCTCGGGCACATCACCCAGCAAGAGAGCAATCTGGTACTGTTTAGAAAAGTCTCGCCGAATCTCCGCAATTTTCATCATCTTCCGTAGTTTCTCCAGATTCCCGGCGATGAGGTATAGGAACGTGAGCTTACTGAAATTTTTGGTGCGCTGGTAGGCCATCTCCAGGACCGAAAGGTTGCCCTGCCTCAGAGCTGATTCACCCAGACGTTCCCAGCAAACTTTGTCGTCGAGGGCACGGGCAGCCTCAAGGCCGACTTCCAGCTGGCCGCAATCCATTGCGAGTGAGAATCGCGTGCGCGTGTCCTTGACAAAGTGCAGCGCCACCTCGGGGTAGCCCTTCTCCTCCAGGTAACCGATGATGGCCTGGCCAATAAGGTTGGCGTTGCGCACCATATGCAAAACTTCCTCGTAGCGTCGATTAACAAGAGCAAGCTTAAAGCGATACTCGGTAGGATCGATAGACAGGACTTTAGGCTGGCAGTCCCGGTCTAGGCAAAAGACTGAGTTGCCACGTGCTGCCGTGATGTAGATGGGTAGATCCAGAGTTCGGATTATACCATGGTCTCCGTTCAGTAGACTGTACTTTATGTGGGTGCTGGTAGTGTAAATGAAAACGCCTTCCTCCTCCCACGCACCGCTCTTAATGCGTACCGTCTCATGTATGCTGGCTTTTATCTCCATCTGACGGTTACAGAGGTATAAAAACATCTTGCTGAAGAAAGCCACATACTGGCCGTCAGGCGACCAGACAGCTTGACGAATGGGTTTCGTATTCTTCAGAGAAAAGAGACTGCGCCCATTGGCCAGACCATAGATGCTGAGGCTGGACGAGTCACGCACCAACAGATTACCAGTGCCAGCGTAGAAGAGGGAGTCGACGCCGGTCAGTTCAATCTTTTTCACTCGTTCATTGGTCAGAGTGCGAATGGCAATCACACCAGGCGACTCCAGGACGGCAAACTTGTTTCGTCCGACCCAAGCCGCACAGGAGCCCTGTCCACCGCGACTGTCAACCTGACCAGGGGTAGAACCTTCCTCAATCTTAGGAAGAATGTAAATATCGTAGACAACGTTGGTTGTGGTTCCATTTGAGGACTTTGCGTCGGAAAACTGTGGACGGCTAGAGATGACGACTGCATTTTCAATGTGATTGAAGGCAACGGCGAAGGGGATTCCGCGACCACTGCAAAAAAGCAATTCAGATAAGGATATTTAGATAGAAGAAATATGCATGACTGAAATAGTAAATATGTTTTAGCCCTCAGTGACGCAACTCACTGGTCTAGACTGTCAGGAACAAGTACTAAACATTAAACAAACAGCATTCTTTTTGGCATCACAGTAGATGTGCTAACTCGTGATATGTAAACCAAAATTCTGGAATGCGTTCTCGACTCCAGCAGATTACTTAGGTAGGTTTGCAATACTAAGCATGGTGCGGCACAATCCCATGATAATTCGTTCCCTTTAAAATGTCGGCTTTTAAACAAACTCTTTTTCGGCCGCCTGCAAAAAATGGCTACTTAAGTAGCTTGGATTTTTCTACTTGATTTTCGATGCCCTTATATATTCAAATATGTTTAATGAAAAACATGCATAAAAATACCCAGTTTTTACTCATTTGATAGAAAATTACGTCTTCTTTAAATTTTGTGCTTGAAGAGAGGGCCTAATTCGGATTTAAAAAAGGTTCTAATTGTGAGATTTTTTAAGACCGTGAAATGCCTGCTCATAAAACATCGTGTCTCTGCATTTACCAATTCTGCTTGTAAAGTCTACAATATGGCTCAAATCCACCGTTAAATTTTATGAACACCATATAGCCTCCTTTTAACACCGTATAGATATGTATGATTTTCCGTACATGGAAAACATACAGCTTGTAGCTTGGAAACCCTGAATACAAGTATAAAGACAGGTCAGGCTCAAAATTGTTCGGGAATTGGAAAAGTTTTCTAAAACCGAATTATACCCTCCCTTCAAGTATAAAATCTAAAGAAGACGTAATTTTCTACCAAATGAGTAAAAGAATAAGTATTTTTATGCATGTTTTCTAAAAAATATAGTTGAATTCATAAGCGTATTGAAAATCAATGAGGAAAACGTATACTACTTAAGTAGCCATTTTTTCCAGAGTAAGGTTGTTGCAGGCGGCCGGAAATAAGTTTATTCAAAAGCCAGTGTTTTAGAGGAACTGAGTTATCATGAAATTGTGTCGCACCGTGAATAGTATTACAACCCTACTTAAGTAATATGCCAGAGTCGAAAACACATTTCGGAATTTCGGTTTGCATTTCACGAGTTAGCACATCTACCGCACATCGAAGTTGTAGTGGAAACTTCAGCTATTGTGAGTTACACTCCGTCCTTGTGTGAAGGAGGCTGGCGGCTACTGCTTGTCAAGTAGCATAAGCAGCAAGTTACGTTGACGATCAGCGTTAAAAGTGAATCGTCATAGGTATTAATTATAGCAGCTATTTGCGCACTGCCAAAGGCCGCGAAAGATGCAACGCGTCCAGAGTATTTGCGTTGGATTTCGGCAAACCAAGGAGTGCATGCATAGTGCTAACAAGCGGGCCTAAGACTTACTCTTTTAATTGTAGAACGGGAGAGTCTTTCTTAGTGTTAAAGTCAAGGCGACGCAGAACTTTTCCTTTGACGTAGAAGAGCAAATCCTTGTAGACTGTGAAGGCGGGACGCTCGCGCTCCAGTTTGAAGACAACCATGCCCTCATCATGGCCAGCCGCAAAGAGACTGAGTGTAGGGTGCGCTGCGAGGACCCAGAAACGATCATTGTCGCGACGGATTGTGGAGACGCAGGTTCTCTTGGCCAGATCCCAGACGCGTATTGATTTGTCCTCGGAGTTTGACAAGAGGAGATCCTGCTTTGGATGAAAGAGGACGCAACTGACATTGTTGACGTGGCCGCGAAGCGTGTCCAAAGTCCATGCCTTAGTTTCTAAAATGTGAGTGCAGGTGATAATTCAATTAAATTTGGCAGGTTCCGCAGCTTTGCTTTTAATCCTAGGGCCACAAAGAATGCGCTGGACATCGAGATTCAGCCGGCAGTGGTAAGGCGGCCCAAATATCTCTCACGCGTGCTAAGTCCACCATTCGAGATCCAAAATATATTTTCGGTGTCAGCGCCAGTACTGGTCGCATTTGACACCGCACCCGATAAATATCTACGGCCACACCCAACACCCACACTAAGTGTCACCAAGTGTGATGGTAGTGTCGTAGAAGGAACTGACGGTATAAATACTTCGTTAGATGATACGGCACTGTAAACTTCAATGAGTATCTATTTCGAGAGATGTTTTGCCCGAAATGGCAGCATATTTTTAAATTGCATTTTTTCAAACAAAATAAGTAATGTAATTCATTATGACAAAAATGGCGACGATAGGTTGTATAACCCAACTTCTCCACCGGTAATCTGCGAGTGGCGTAATAGGGCGACGACGGTATTAGGGGTTTTGCGGATGTGGCATCACGGTGGGCAAGAAGTGAAATGTATGCAGGGAAGCATAAAAATAGATCTTCGTCAAAACTCTTCTCCTACGGTTTTATATGGCAACAGAATTGGGTGTGTTAATTTAAAAAATAAAGAACAACTCAATAAAAAACGGTATTTGGATAGACCGCGACTGATAAGTTTGCATTAGGCCAGGAAGCAAGGAAACGAGCAAACAATTGCAAATAAGAATAATAAGTGATAATTGGTTCCAATACGAAATTTTACGCGGGGTTTTGAGATGCAAATGAACGTTAAAGAAGTCAAAACAAGGCACACCAGCGAACAAGGAGCGAAATAACGAAAGCCAGAAAGCAGAAAGGCCAGGCAACCACAAGCCGATTTTATAACGAAAACGGAAGAAATAATGAAAGTTATCAACTCGAAAAAAGTGGTCGAATATTGCCAAACAAGAGGACTACTGCCGACTGTGATAGCTTGCCATTGTGGACGCCTAATGCGATAGCAAGTCTCGAGGCTGCACACGGACGGGTATGCGTTCCGGTGCGGCCGATGCTGAAGTAGAAAGGCCCTTAGATAGGGCTGAATATCTGAGAAGGGTCGACTTACAATCAGAACAGTCATGAAGATATGGCTGGCGTTTATACAAGGAACAAGAGTAAAAATGCAGGGAAGATAATGGAACATGCCATATGACAGCAGTCCGATGGTATGTAATGTGTTGCGATGCATGATCAATCGCCCTCATGAAGGAAACAAAACAGACTGGTGGTCTGGGAATAGAGGCTCATGTTGATGAAACACTCATCAGCCGCCGTAAGTACAGTGTCGACAGAGGCAGAAGGCAGTTTTGACTGGCGGGTATGCAACACACCAAGCGAAAAAAGACGCTATTCAGAAAGTCAACGACGGAAGTTGGCCTGCCCTAAGAGCTGCTATAAAGTGGGTCGCGACGGGAAGCAGCATCGTAACCGATGAATAGACGGCCTACAAGCGTCTGCCATCCGAAGGCTATGAACGTTTCACCGTCAATCACTACAGAAATTTTAAAGATCCAACGACGGCGAAACACACCGATGCGATCGAGGCGTATTGGAGCAGACTGGAAAGGAAGCGCCACGAAGGAGGCCCGGTGTCAGGTTGGCCCAATGCGGACACACATGGATGAGGCCCAATATCGCCCATGGTTTGGCCTAAACACCATGGGCCTAACGTGGGCGTGGAGAAATTTCCTGTCACATATTGCCGAAAAGTGCGCGGTACAGAAGCAATCTGTATGGCGAAGCTGAATGGCTGCTTTCTATAGCCAATTTATCGGTCATTTGTAAGTACATTTCTGTATATAAAGTCGACACAGTTGAACTATTCTATTATTGGCAAGGCGGGGAACAAGGCCCTTCGGCCTATGCGACTTAAACCAGACAGGGCCCAAGACTCTCACAGTACTCGTAGTACGGTGAGTATCTACAAGACCCAATCGCTGCTCAGCTCTCCGAGGTAAGATTATCTAAAGTACATGTTCTTTGCAGTGTACTATCTGCAAATGCTTCTAAATGGAGACCAGCGGCATTGACTGTTTTTTCCCCTGCAGGACAGGTGCTGTGGGCTTGTTTGACCTCGATAACGGGTCGGCCTCCTGTTGCATCATTAGTAGCAGGCTAATGCTAGCCCCTTTTGGAGAAAAAAGTAAGTCATGACGTACGAGTTCGACAAAAAAACCGTGTTAGAAGTCGAGGAGGTCGAAGACTGAACAGCCTCATCTCAAGCAGTCTGGTAGGGAAAGCAGCATGCTGGTGCAAACATGTAAATGCTTAACGCAAGATATTACTGACGAACGCCGTCTAACATAAGAAACAAGGAATGAGGTCCTTACAGAACTTGTTGTAGTCGGGGTAAGACAAAACGAATTGCAGAGGGTTGGGAGCGGAAACCGAAGGCCACTTAATGTCAAGAAATTTTCTCGATAAAAAGTTCACAATGAAACAACTCCGTGAATGCGATCATACAAATGGGCTAGGTAACAAAGAAGGGCCACTTCTTGCTGACATAAAATGGCAAACAACACAAGGCCTACTTAAACAAGTATAGTAGTTAGCTGTGTATACGGAAGACAATGGAGCTAAACAACCTATCCACAACCAAAAATAATTTGACTTTTCTTTAGTGATAAATGGCAGGTAATAATTTAAAACGTTCCACAGGAGAACGTTGTTTCAAGGAACTGCAGATGATTTATTAGGCAAGATGGTTGACAAGGTATGGAAAAACCCCACGAGAGCCATGCAGAAATTCCTCGAACTAGACGCCCCAAATAGGGTAGGGCATCGTACGAGAGATTGTGCCACTTCCATTCAGAACTCCATGGACTTTCTAGAGAAATTGAGAGACTTCACAATTTCCGCGGATGAGATAATGGTCTCCTTTGATGTGATTTCTTTGTTCACTTCCATACCACTGGATTTCGCAAGGCAATGCACAGATGAACTCCTAAAGTCCTATGACACGGATGTTCCTGCAGCTGCCTTACTTGAACTAATGGACCTTTGTTTAGAAACCAATTTTTCGTTCGATCACCAATATTATCAACAACTAAAAGGTGCTCCAATGGGATCACCCATATCTGGCTTTCTTGCCGAGGTGACAATGCAGAAATTGGAATCGGTGGCTCTTCCATTAGTTAACCCTAAGTTATGGGTACGATATGTAGACGACACGTTTGTCGTCGTTAAAACGGATCAACTAGAAATACTCCACAACACAATCAATTCAACCGTTCCGGGAATTAAATTCACGTTGGAAAAAGAACTTGACAATAAACTCCCATTTCTAGATGTTCTCGTACAGCGTAAGACTTACGGAACATTACACACCTCCGTTTACCGCAAAGAAACATATGCAGAAATAATTCTGCACTATGAAAGCAACGTTCCATCTCTCACAAGCAGAGTACTGTCAAAAGTCTGATACATCGAGCAAAAACACATTGCTCTGATGAAGAAAGCTACAAAGTTGAACCAAACTACCTATTTGAATTATTTTCCCAGAACGGATACCTTAGAGATTTCGTACGTCGATGCATAAAACAACAAGAGATAAAAACAAAGGAACTAAATAGTTCCAATCAAGCGCCCAAAGCAAACACTTGGCGAATCCTTCCTTACATCAGGAATGTGTCTGAACTTGTTGAAAGACACTTGAGGAAACACCAGATAAAAGTGGCGCACAAACCGACGACTACTTTACGCACCCAACTTGTACACCCTAAGGATAGGGTTGGCTATCTCGATAAAAAAGAAGTCGTCTATAAGATCCCATGCGATGCCTCTGATGCCGTATATTGTGGCCAAACGGGAAAATTTGCCTCTATACACATCCACGAACATCAACTTGCAGTTAAGAGGCGAGACCACTTGTCTCAAATGGCCATGCACACTCTTGATACTGGGCACAATTTCGCATGGGACAAAACTCGCATCGTCGGAGTTTGCCCATCTAAAAAAGGCCGAGAGTTTCTTGAAGCCATGCACTCCAATGAGTCATGCATCAACAGGCATATCGAGTTAGATGCCACGTACAAAAATCTCAGAGAAAAGTGGAAGAGACGAAAGCCGATCAATACGGACTGACACATACGACGGCAGCTTACTAGCTGAGGCACCAAATGAGTATTGATTTTGTAGCACGTTTGAAATTTTAGTTGTTTTCTGCATATTTACTCTAGTCTGACGACGACACGGGGAATCGACGTCGAAAATTTACTCAATAAAGATTTCTCTCTTTCCCAAAGAACGTATTTGATTTCAAATTATATTTCTTGGGATGCCTGCGTTCCAATATATATATATTTGAAAATAAGTAGAATTCTTTGGGAAGGGAATAAACTTTAATGAGTAAATTTTCGAGTCTGGTTCCCCAGCTCGTCGTCAGACTTTTGGGCAATGTACAAAAACAGTTAACTATTTAACCGTGTCAAACAAGTGATTCTATGGTTGGCCGAAGCCTGCGCCAATGCGCGTCAACGATTTCGTCATCCCCTCGGCATTGGCTGCGCTCGCTTCCATTTGTCCTTGAGAAATTTGTACGTGGCATCTAAATCGATATGCCGATTGATGCATGCCTCATATGAGTGCATTGCTTCCAGGAATTCGCGGCCTTTCCTTATTGGGCAGGCGCCAACAATGCGGGTGTTCTCCCATGCAAATTTGTGTCCAGTGTGTGCATAGCCACCTGGGATAAATGATCTCGTCTCCTCACCGCTAACTGATGCTCATGTATGCGGGTAGAGGCGGATTTCCCAGTTTGGCCACAATACACGGCATCACAACTGGAACATGGTATCTTGTAGACAACACCTTTCCTATCAAGATAACCAACCCTGTCCATAGGGTGTACAATCTGTGTACGCAAGGTGGTTGTAGGTTGGTGTGCTACGTGTATCTGATGCTTTTTCAGTTGTCTTTCGACGAGTTCAGATACATTTTTGATGTATGGGAGGGTCCGCCAGGTGAAAGTGTTTGGTGCTTGGGTGGCCGCTGTTTTCGAAATACCTTTCTGTTTAAACTCATGTTTCATGCAATGATGCACAAAGTGGCGCGGGTAGCCGTTGTGGGAAAATAATTTGAAAAGGCATTTCACTTCTGCTTGATAACTTTCTTCATCAGAGCACATTTGTCATTGTCAAGAGAAACCAATTAGACCAACTTCACACACGAGGCAAGCGGCAAGACTGAACAACTCAAGACCCGCAAGTGCAACAATTACGCTCCTCTGATGATGGAAACGAGGAAGTTTCCGAAACGTCAGTCCGAATACAATATGGTCCATGAATTCGCCCTCTCTTCTTCTTCGTCTTCTTCGGGAGATGATGAACGCGATACAATATCTGGACCTCGAATCTTTACGCATATCGATATATATATCGCGTTCATCATCTCCCGAAAAAGACGAAGAAGAAGAGAGGGCGAATCCATGGACCATATTGTATTCGAACTGACGTTTCGGAAACTTCCTCGTTTCCATCATCACGAGGAAGATTCCGAAACGTCAGTTCGAATACAATATGGTCCATGGATTCGCCCTCTCTTCTTCTTCGTCTTCTTCGGGAGATGATGAACGCGATACAATGTCTGGAACTCGAATCTTTACGCATATCGGTATATATATATATTTATATATTGTAAAGGTATTATACCGTACTCCCTAAATAGATACTTGCTAAAAGCCCAGACACGTGTTCCGCCGATATTCTGCCGCTGCGGGACACAGCTGCGAGGGGTTCGGCTCTTCAGTGGGACCCCCAGCGTTCTCTAGCGGTTTCTGGTATATGAACTCCAGAGAATAATCAGGTGAATAATTTCAGAAATTAATCAGTGCAGGACTTGGAGTTAAATCGCCGGGACATGACTTTTTAGGGTCAGAACCGAAATTTCAATGATACACTTTTATGATATTATTTTGGGAATTTTCAGATTGAAACCAGCAAATGTGACAAGTCAAACAATCCATTCAAAAAGGAACCTGCAATGACCAGCTTGGACTTCCGAAAAGGCATATTTTGTCCACAAAAACACTGCGTGGTTTAGTTAATAATACGAGAGGTGGTATGGTGCAAAGTGGTGCTGGTAAATTACCTGTCACACGCCAAAGCCTAATATGCCTGTCATCTGATGCGGAGACAACAATCGGCAGGGTTGGGTGGAAGGCGACCCAGTTAACGCCGCGATCGTGGCCCTCCAGGACGTGCTTAACAACAGCATCTGCTGTACCGAATAACTCGGCATTGCCACCTATAGGAGAGCTCGATCCACCATGTCCGGATCCACCCGTCAGATAGCGCATTTGCTCCTAGTTTTTAAAAGTATATTCAGAAAGTTCCAGGATATGTCACACGTTTATCAGTTTGCTTAACAAATAGGAATGAGTAAAGACAAGCAGACAGTCGAAATCTTGGTTGTAAAGGCAAGGCGGAGGTAGTTGGAAAAAAAATTCGAGTCGAAGGATGGAGCACATATTCGGCTGAAATTTTGTTTAACCTTTTAAAGTAATTCGATGTAATACGGGTCGCAAGAGCACAAAAATTAATAGGACGGGAAGTGATTAAAGTGGAGGATCGGTCTGGCACAAGTATCTTAAAGTACGAGCTTGGAGTATGAAGAAAAATTGTTTTCCTAAGACTAGGCATGGTGGAGAAGTGAAGGAATAGATGGCCGGCCTGTTTCTATATGAAGCTGAAAAATTATATGCAGTGGGCACGAAGAGTTTATTAATTTAAGCAGAACGCAGTATAAGTCCAAATCCTCCTCGAGAGTGAAAAACAGAAATACCTCGAGACCGGTCATATTGCTTGGGGCGACATTCTTTTTTCGGAAGCCAGAAATGTCCCAGATGCGGACAGTCTGATCCAACGAGGCGGAAACGACAAGGTCTTCCTTAGGGTGAAACTGTGCACACATTACATAGTGGCTGTGGCCAGTTAGCACACAGGCTGGCGTTCGCGACTGCCAGTTCCAGATGCGGATGGTTTGGTCGTCTGAGGCACTGAGGATCCAAGGGTGTTCCTACAAAAAATGATAATAAAAAGGCATGAAAAAAGGTGCTTCGGGTACAGCTAGGGCGTCTATGGGACCGGTGCAATTAGCACCCCTTGTCTAGTTCACGTAGTGAAAAATATGCGAGTTTCTGCGAGGACACTTAATGACGGTTACGGGGATGGAACGTCGCAGCTGTGGTCAAATCCTGAGATTCTACTCTCCCCTGCGACGGTGCAGATAAGTGGCACTTACATGAATTCCGTCTTTCTGACTTAGACTAGGTTAAAATTCAATCCATCGAAATACGCTAATGCCCCTTTCATTACGAGAGTGATCCTGGGGAGACAGCTAGGAAGTGCCAAGTAACCGTTGGAGGGTTCAAACTAACAAGTGTTTTAACGCAAGAGAAACCAACACAATCAATTGATGTATGGGTAAACTAAGGATTATTTGTTAACGTCTCTGCATTTTTCCATAACCACGATTGAAACTACCAACTACAGAAAACAAGATAAGCCTAATAGTCTGTTTTCAGGTGTCAACAAACTACCTCTTGAGGCCTGCTCATCACTAAACCTAGCAAGTTCTCTGCCAGTCATTATAGATCGTTCTGAAAATCGTGAAAGCTAGGGCGATAACTGTCCTTGTGAGTGACGTAAAATACGTGAACTCTGAGGATGTACGGGGATTTAATGGCGAGATTTCTTGAGCCCGATCGGCGTGATCCTCATGATGCGGATACTTTTCCTACCTGGGGCCACATGGTCTGTTGCAAAACTGTAAGAATACATGTTTTGGCTTAAGTTTCAATAATTCTGCGTGACGGTGAGAAGTGTCGGCTCTTAGTGCGAATAAGATTTTACCCCAAAATGATTTAGTACGACGCCAAATAACAAGAATAGTCAAAATGTGGCTGTTCCTCTATTACTAGGCCACTCACATTTCGGCACCACTTTCTAAACTTAAAACAACATGGTTTTCATTTCGTAGTATAATTTAAACACAACACCTATTCCTGCCATCACTCAAATAATCGAGTTTCACTCCACTCAACGCACCTCCCGCTTGCCGAATGGTCTTCTCCAGTTGATTCTTCGGCTGACTGGATAACATTCCCCATAGGTTCGTTGCTGGGGTTAAGGTCGGAGTTCAGCGATTGCTTGCTAGCCACAGATTCGTTCACTGGTTCACGAGTACGCTACATGTCCATCGCTCAAACAAGACAGCGATCGAGCGGAAAGTGTCTGTTTATGACCTAGCATTGTGTGTTGACGGCAAAAAAACCAATTTCAACTTTTTGCGCGAAACAAAAGATCCTAAGATCATAGCACTGCCTCTTCCAAACCCTTGTCTATCGCAGGTATCAAGCCATGCTAGTACTACATCCAATTGTTTGAACCATTCAAAGCGAGCTTCTCTTCGTTGGACAAGAACACCTTGTTGATGTGATGTGATGTTTGGTGATGTGATCTCCCATCCAACGCGTTTGTTGCTTCTTATGGTACTTCGTCAACGGTGATAATGGCAAAAGCTTCCGAGAAGCAAGTAGCAGTTAACCCTCGATGACCCTGTGATATGTGGTCTCTGAAAGTTTCAGTTTCAAGCTCCACTTGGAATTTTCAACGAAGAAGGAGTACATAGTAACAGAGCTCGGCATTGTCGGAGCAGGGGCGTTAAAACTGGTTGCAAATCTCTTCCCCAAAAGTTAAAGCCGCATTGTAATAAGTGGTTCGATATGTAACTGATAAAGAGAATGATTACGGTTCCCCTATGACAGTCGCCCTTGGAGGTGTATCCAGCTCCCACTTCATTCAGTCGTTTATGTTCTGAGAGGCGGGTCTTGTAGAGGATGTAGATGTTTATGTTCTATCGCGCAAATTGGCGGACAATCAGATTTGTCGGTTAGACATACAGTTACCTAAATAGAATACAGTCCAGATCGCCAGAATGGATGAGGTCACACTGGCCGAAGGGGGAGTGATGGGGACATGTTCTGTTTCTTATCATCGTGTTTCGACCGTGTATGCCACGTCTTGCAGTCACAATCAGTTGTGTGAACGGCATGAACAATCATTCGTTCAGAGTATCTTTCCCAGTCCCTAGGTCCATGAGGAGGCGGGTATTGCGTCGATAAATAGGGCACAGCTACCAAATTCCACTACGACTGACGAATGGTTCAGCAAAAAGACGACCCGAATTGATTTAGGCGGCCTGTTGGATTACAAGTTACCCTCTCTGTAGGACCCTCCGAGGTTGCGAGGTTGGAATGGGTATGGTGCTGGTGACTAAATGGTGAGGAAGATTTGCGAGTTAGATTATGCTGAGGGCCTGCACAGCATTGGTTGCCCTCTCTCCTCCCATTCTGACCGTGACTAAGTCGCAAAACTAGGCCAGGCGAACGGGCATAGAAATTGTACGCAGTGACTGACTTGGCCTAAGCCTTGTCTCCACGTGAATCAACACAGTTGTTTCCTTCCAACGAAGGAAGAAATCCGCTGCGGCTGGAGATACATCGACTACCCTGGTCCGACTTACTCCCATCAATTTTGAGCAATTACCAGGGCATGACCGACTCACGGTTCCGTGAAACCACAAATGAAAGCTTAATGCAGGTAGGGGTAATGTGAAATAGGCACCAGGTGCGGCAAAACGCTCCGAACACTACTAGCCCAGCCAAGTTAAGTCTCCACCAGGACACATACACAAGGTACACCTGGAAGTAAGATAACACCCTAAATTTTAGCTCCTACAAATAATGGGGTGTGGCTAGCAAAAAATGCTGAGATAAGTCCGAGACATGTAAAAATGACAACTTACATGATGGAAGTAGGTTGTCCGGATGTAGTCCAGGTGGCCGAGCAAGGTGAAAAGACACTTCCTATGTTTGTAGTTCCAAACCTTTATTTTGTAGTCGTCACCACCAGAGACAAATAGGGGCTGATTTTTGTGGAAGTCTATGCCTCTAACGGGGCCCTCGTGTTCCTCAAATTTGTCAATCAAAGTACACGCCCGATAGTCCCACAGCTGAATTACGCCAGTATGAAGACTCGAGAGGATCCATGGTCGTTTAGGATGGAATGCCAAACCTTAACAAAAAAAACCGTCCTAATTTACCGTTTACAGAAAATGCCACCGGTCAAGTCGTCACATCAGCTTCCTAGGTGGTGGGCCTTGAAAATGCCATTCTGACATCATAGACTTGATTACACTGAATTAGTAAGTACAGGCAAAAAGGTCAGGGAAGTTATGTTGATAAATCCGGTGAAGAAGACAGCTAGCCCGTCTTACTAAGGAGTCACCAGCGCGGGTACTCGACGAGGGCGTTTGGGATCTCAGAGGGGATAGCGCAACTCCCCTAGTCATGAGTGTGGCGTCGAAGTAAGATGACCAGGAAAAGTTCGAAGTCAGAGAAATCATAAAGAAAAAAAGTTGTGACGCAAGAACAACGAGAACGTTCAACGTTCAATGATAAACACAGACGAAAAAGGGTTAGAGTATGGGAATTTAAACCGATTTTTATTTCCACAGAAGGCTACGGGAATGAATAATCCTTATCGGATAGCTGAAAAGCCACCATTGCAGAAGTTGGTTGTCAGAAAAAACGACAGGACACGATAGGAAGTGGAAAATGAGTCACTTGCGGTTTCGGATCGCAAGTAGAAACAACATAAAAGGTACCCAGGAATTATTTCACCCGCGAAAAAGGAAAATCGGATGGTATTAGTAAAGAAATGCCTTTAAAAACGAAGGTGAAACTAACAGCAGTTGATATTGAGTCGATGTACTGCAATTAGGTAGGCGGGACATCACGCATGCGGTGGTGGCGACACCATTCGCTGACGCTAGCGTGACAAACGCACTCCGTGCTCACCCCCATATACTGTAGTTAGTCTTTTTAGCTGTCATGCTCAAAAAAATCTAAAAGAATATGTAGACGCCGGCGAGATGTCGTAATATTAATGAGATTTGAAATCGACACAAGCTGCAAGAACCGTTGCCAACCTAGTTCGGTCGATTGGAATCTTATTCGGACCACAGTGAAGGAGAAGGGGTCATGTCATAACTGTCAAACGTCATCGAATTTAATAAATCAGATGAATTGGAAAGGACAGAAGGCGGCAGATACATTACTACAGAACCGCGTCATACAACTGTTCAGAAATGATTGCGCGATTGGGTCCTGCAGCGTAATGTAGCGTACGCTCATGTGCGAGGTCATACGGATATTCCAATGACGGTCGTGACTCAGTTACCAGTGAGTGCGAGAACGCCTTCGGGACAACATGCAGCTTGCCAGTCGTAAACAATTGTTGAAACTTCCGCCGCGGATTTTCTACTTCATACAGCGAGGAACAAATGGCCTACAATGTGCACAGAATCATGCGCATTGGGGATTAAGTAGACCACCATAGCCCCCGTGACTTTTCCTTTTCGTTACCTCCCGAAAACTATTTAGGTAAGCTGAATAAGCTACTGAAACGGCAAACGCGACCCTACGACAGCCCCAATAACACTGCATTAGCAGATGAGTAGCCACTCACTGGCAGCTACAGTTTACGCCGAGTCTCTGTCTAGTTATCTGATTGGCCTGAGTCTTCACTGATGCGGAAGTCTGAGGCACTACCCAGCATGCTTTATTCGGCTAGCTCCCTTATCAGACCGGAGGACGCCCGCGCAGCTTGGGAACACATTCGTCTGCGCTCGGCACGCAGCGCGACATTGATGTGTGCGAGTATGTGTACATGGTTTGCCACACTGTCAGGCGTTAGATATAAAGAACAACGTATCTTAATGGCTCGGGCAGAATGTCATCCAGTCGAGCCGATCCCGGGTGACGCGTGCGACCGATGAGTGCGTTCGCCATCGAGGACTTTGGTACGACTCGTAAGAACGGACGGGTGGACTGTGTTTATCAGGAACTGACAGGAACTAGCCAATCAGTAGAGCAAGCAATAAGTCCACAAAAGAGGTTCGGCAGGAGTTGCAAGGTACGGGTGGAATGTTATCAGGTAGGAGCACGTCGGTGGATCGCATAAACTTAGGATTGAGACAAATGACTACCACCGCCAGAAAGACAAACATTTTAAAACTGAGTAAAATACCTTTCACGCGAGCCGATTTCGAGTCAAACTTGGTAAGATACGTCATCGCAATCCTGACAACTGCCAAATTGGAACGCTTTAAAAAGCCCGCCCGCTGATCAAGGTTGTTAAAACAGTGAACCCTGACTTGGTCCGGTTGGACAGCATCACAGCCATCAAAGTACCTGCATAGTAAAATTCCCCCTCTGAACAGCTCCTGTCGATTTTATATCGGGCCTCCTTAATGGAATGTGACAGAGAGACCTTAGAGGTCACACTGTTAACAGGCAGCACTCTCGGATGTTGCCTAGCTTATGGTATGTAGTATGATATATGACGGAATCCAAAGACTAGCTCGTGCAATTAGGGTGAAGTAAGAGGTTTTGCAAAATGTTTGAACTTGTCCACCTGCTCGTTTTACGGCCTCTCTAACTGTCTCGAATTCTTCCTTAGCGGCTCTAGATCAAATGTCAGTCAGTCAGTGATTTTTGAGGAAAATAGGCTTGCGCCTTTGAACTCCCTATTTGTACATAAAAATCAATAAATAAGCAAAATGTGAAGGAATTACAGTATTAAATGAATGCAGACATGGATTCACATTTGTCATTTGTCTCATGGCTAAAAAGTCACATGGTCCGCTTGTTGCTGCAGCATATGTCTGTCAAGCCGGCATTTAAATGTAGCCACAGATTGAGACATGACAACCGTCTCGGGCAGGTTATTCCACGGTTCCACGACATGGTTGGATAAGAAATATTTTCTCCCATTCAATGTACCCTGGGGCACACGTAGCTTGGAGTGATGTCCCCGCAAGTTAATTGTTGTGTCGAGTTGGAAAAAGTCATCGCACCGAAGGGCGCAGTCCAAGCCTCGCACTATACGGAAAGTTTGTACCAAGTCTCCGCGCAACTGCCTATAACTCAGAGGATAGAGATTAAGGAAAGTTAAGCGAATCTCGTATGGCAGTGAACTTTGACGTCTTATTAGTTTTGTTGCTCGCTTCTGCACCCTTTCGAGCAGATTGTAGTCCTGATGCGTCCCTGGTCTCCAGGTCTGAATTGCATATTCGAGATGCGGCCTTACAAACGTGCCGAAGACTTTGAAGAAGTAGTCTTAGTCGAAAACTGCGAATGCCCTCTTGATGGCATATAGCATTGAAGTTGCGGCCTTGGCCGCCTTACAGCATTGTGTAGAGGGCTTTAGGCTGTCTGCAACCCAAACTCCGAGATTTTTCTGTGTTTCTGCTTCTCGGAATGGCATTGCGTTCAGATGGTATTGCCGCGTACTAGGGGTCTGATTTACGAGGCGTAGCATGGTGCATTTGTTCAAATTGAAGGGCAAGAGCCATCTGCGGGACCTCTCGTCCAGTCGACAAAGATCTCCCTTGAAGTTTATTTAATCGGCAGCATTCTGAATGACTTTCCAGATTTTTATGTCATGTGCAAACATGGCATTATCACAGTCCAAACCATCTACACTATCATTGATAAACAAGAGAAAGAGGGTTAGCCCGAGCACCGAACCTTGTGGGACTCCACTCCATATAAATGTCCGCCTTGATTGCTGTCTTTCTACGCAGACAATTTGGGAACCGCCGATGAGGAAGTTCTCGATCCATTTGAGGAGTTTGCCGCCGATGCCCATTAATCTCAACTTGTGCAGACGACGTTGGTGCGGGACACTGTCGAACGCCTTCCGGAAATCAATATAGGCCACGTGTACAGTGTGTTTTGCGTCCATTGCTCTTGTCCAACTTTTCATTGTATATAGCAAGTTGGTTACACATGATCTTTCCCTACGGAAACCATATTGTGCATTGGACATGAGACTGTGACTTTCCAGGTAAGTCATCAACTCCTTTTTGATGATTTTCTCCATCACTTTGCTGCAGATTGATGTCAGGCTAACGGGTCTGTAGTTCGTTGCAAGAGCACGACTACCGCTTTTGTAAAGGGGCGTAATGTGTGCCGTCTTCCAGTCTGTGGGATGGATTCCAGCATCGAACGATTCCTGGCACAGAAAGGATAGAGGTTTGGCCAGCTCTCGGGCAAGCTCGAAAAGCAGCTTTGCTTGGATCTCGTCCGGACCGGGAGCTTTACATTCCTTCAAGCTTTTTAGTTCTTCCAAAACCGTTGCTTCTCGAAACACGATGATTTCGATAACGGGATCTCCCATTTTCCCGGAATTAGTTGGAATAAAGTCTGCTTCGCTTGTGAAAACGGATTTGAAAAATCGAGAAAAATGCTCAGCTTTATTCGTACTGTCCGATATCTCCAAACCGTCATCATTCCTCATGACAGGAATAGGAGTCCTGTTACGTGTGCTCTTCCGTAAATAGCTGTAGAGCAATTTCGGATTTTAAACGGCTGGGTGAAGTAAATTGCCCTTGAAATCCCGTCGCTTATTGAAAATCAGGCTTTTCAACTTATTTCGTTTAAAATTTATATTCTGTGAACGCTGCAAAGTTGTTGTTTTCGCGACCTTTCTTCCACAACCTTCCTTTCTTTTTGATTTCCTTTTTGAATTCACGTGTTAGCCACTGAGGGCGGTTGGATGTCCTTAGCTTTTATGCGGGACAATGGCTCTTTATTAGATGCAACAACTGATCCTTGAATAAATTCCAGTTCTCGTTAACGTTTCCGGAGAAGAGAACATCCCAGTCTATTTGTGATGTCTCAGCTCTCATTTGGCGAAAGTCCCCTTTCCATATATTCGGCCTCGTATCGTCGTTTGTATACGGTTCGGAATACAACTTGTACTCCCATAAAAGTACTGCATAATCACTTCGGCCGAGCGGGGTATGTAGTACACCTCGTCTATACTGTCAGGATCTTTGGTGAAGACGAGGTCCAGACAATTGGCCTGTTGTCCTCCCCGTGCTCTAATTGGAGATAGGTCACGTTGCGTGAGAAGAGTTTCTAGGGTTGTCTTTAGTATTAGGCATTTCTTACTAGCATGTCGCGTGCCGCCCTCTGTCTACCTACTTAACTTTTGCATTATCATTGACCTCATTTAGTTATCTTAAGGAAATTTGTTTTGTATGTATAAAGGTGCGCGTGCCAGCTATTAACATATGGAATGCATTAGCAGTAATGAGAGGAATCAGAAGGTTTAATAAGTTTACGACATGGATTCTCACTCCAACCAGTCCGCGATCGTCTCTGATGATAAGTTCGAGTGAGAATGCGAGACGTCAAGTGGACAAACTTTGTCTCTCTGTGATCGTAGTAGCTGCAGTCTACAGGAAATGTACTAACGCATTTAATGTTTACAGAACTTCCAAAATGAGCTTTCGATTCCAGGAGATTACATGCAGTAGGCAGGTTAACGGATGAAACGTTAAGTGAATTTCCGAAACGCATTTTCGTTTCGAAAGGATTACTTAAGTAACGTTGCAAAATCATTCATCATGCCGCATAGGTCCATAATAGGTCAGTAAAGCGGGGATGCGGGCTTCCGGACGAACTTCTTTTGGGCCGCATGTAAAACCACATCCTGTAAAAAATGCTTATTTAACTAGCATGATTCTTTTACATATATTTTATGTGCCCTTAAAAATTCAATTATATTTTATGGAAAACATACATAAAATATGCATGCTTTTGCTTATTTGGTATTAAATTATGTCTTATTCCAATTTTATACTGAAAGCAAGAGTAAAATTCAATTGTAAAATGGTCTCCAGCTATGAAATTTTTTAGTACCTTTCATAAAATATCGCGTGTCTGCACTAGCACATGCTGAGTATAAAGTTGACAGTAGGGCTTAAACCCACTGCTGGATTCTATGAGCCCCCTGTGGTCTCCTCTCAATATCATAGAGAAATGTGCGGGTTTTTCAGTTTATTTCAGTTTATTTGGTGAGGATAATAGGTAAAGCCCTTAAAAACCCTATTGATTACATGTCAGCTCGTTAGAAATAACTGTACACGAACAATAAAAATATTCGCTATTAAAACAGTACTTGATTCATATGAGCAGCATTATATCAGAGAGAATATTTGCGGGGTTGTGGGGTATTAGTTCAGATTCAGACTGTCGACGGAAAACAGGAGACACAAATAATCATCCAGGCGTTTCTTGAAGAGTTGCAGAGACGTAGCCTCCACGACTGACTGAGGGAGAACGTTCGATTTCTCCATTACCCTCTGCGTGAATAATTCAGAACAAAGAGTCAGCCTGGACATTGTTGTCCGTAGCTTCATCGAGTGACCACGAAGATTGGGTGAAAGGTGCCACCGGAACATGTCGTCAAATTTAAGTCCATGCCCAAGGCCATGCATTATCTTGTAGACGAGGATAAGATCACCTCTTTGCTGCCTGTAACACAGAGGGAATAAATTAAGGCGATTGAGTCTGTCTGTGTAGGATTGGCTTTTTAGACCGTTTACCAGCTTTTTTGCACGCCGATGTACCCGTTCGAGGCATGCTTGGTACTTTACGAGCAATGGCCGCCACGCTTGTATGACATATTCCAAGTGGGGCCGAACAAAAGTGCCGTAAAATCTTCCAAAAAGGTCTTGGTCAAAGTTTACGAAAGCCCTTTTGATTTCATGCAGCACTCCCATGGCGTTTTTTGCAGCCTTGTAGCACTGCAGTGTTGGTTTCAGGTTGTTCTGTATCCAAACCCCGAGATCCTTCTGTGAAGATTCAGCGGGGAGCCTTATATCTTTCAGGTGATATGTCCTCAAGTTCTCATTCGAATGAGAGTTGGCTGGACGCAGATGAAGGACGGCACACTTCTGCACATTGAAATCTAGAAGCCATTTCTTCGACCACGCTTGCATTCGGTGCGGATTATCCTGAAGGGATCTCTGATCATTCGGTCCGTTAATGACTTTCCAGAGCTTAACGTCGTCTTCAAACATTACTTTGCAGCAGTCCAGTTCCTGAAGGCTATCGTTAATATAAAGGATGAAGAGCAATGGTCCCAGAAGTGAGCCTTGAGGCAAACCACTGGTCACGTTCACCCATTCTGACATATCATCTCCGATACAGACACGTTATTTCCTACCAACCAGAAACGCCCTTATCCAGTTCAGAAGATCTCCCCGGATGCCGATGACGC